CTATAATAATAACTCATCTATGTTTACAGTCTATTAGTAACTGTGTAAATAACAGATTGTATAAGATATAAATGTATAGAGTTATAGGACTATAATCGTAACTAATCTATGTATACAGTCTATTAGTAACTGTGTAAATAACAGATTGTAATAGTTATAAATGAATAAGATGTAATATAACTTATCGTTACTAATCTTTGTAGAGTGTATTATTACTTATTTAAATATCATTTATATAGGACTATAATCATAACTCGTCAATGTATAACTATACTAGTGTAAACAACCGGTGATATAGCCAATTGATTAGTAACTTGGTATTTAGCATGTTATATAAGTAATCAATATAGTTAATTAGTTGTAGATAACAGTTATATAACCTTCAACATAATAGTATTTGCGTAAATAATCTTTATAACTTTGCAATGCATACATTATATATTTACATTTGCCCCCGCGCCGTCCCATTACAACAGTGTTAGAGGGCAAGTGTAATTATAAAGGCTATAATTACAACTGCTCGACTATAATTACAACTGCCTGTTTCAGGGGTAGGAATATGTAAACAAACAAAATGGCCGCCTGAAATGTATTTTGAGGCAGGGCAAATGGTTTTTGTAGGAATATGGCTTAAAAAAGAAAAATATGTAAATATAAAAAATACCTGATTGTCTGGATGTAATTATATCAACAATAATTACATCCAGACAACCAGTTATTGTTTGAATATGTTTTTGTGAGAGCAAACGCTGATATAAGTTGACATTTAATTAGCATTAGAGTAGATAGGTCATAACAACACACAGTCGGTTAGTAGTAATTTATGTTTTATTTGATTCTCATAATTGTTATTGAAGAGAGTAGCAAACATAACTCCCAGTATCAGTTAGTATCAATGTACTTTGTAATTTCTGTATAACAATCAAAAACACAATACAAATATAGTACACTATTGTTCGTCAGTTCAGAACAACACGTTTTACCTAAGAAAGGTTCAGATTTGTTACAGCATTTCATAAATTTTACTCCAAGAAACAAAAAAACATAACATACCATTTAGCAAACCATCATCACAATTTGAACAAGTTCGTTTATTTGGGAGGTTTAAAGCGGTATTCAACTCATTCGGGAAAGTATTGACAGCAAAGGAATTCACCAGGTTACGTGTAGTGCTAACACGCAGTGGTTCTGTAGTCACTACCATACAGTGTATTTTGAATTATAGATAAATATCGAATTGGTAACAAAATCAGTGACATTTTGTAATATCTTTGAATAGACTATGAATCATAAAATTGTCAAATTATTATTTTCCATCCAATCTGAAAAATAAATTAAATAAATGGCGGTGTTCCTTTTTTTATTCTAGCCATTTCATCTTGCTTTATTTGACACAGAAATTCTGGGTTAACGTACAATAATTATAATGTATAACCCATTAACTTTGATAATTTAAGTACAGTAAACTCTACCGTAGATATCAGTGCTAGTGGTGTTATCAGCTTACATAATTCAATAGGAATGTAAAAGGAACAATCATACCACGGCATAATGCACAAAGAAAAACATATACTACAGCGTCAACGCAGAGAAAAACATATAATAAAGCGTCAACGCAGAGACAAAACATCTACTACAGCGTCAACGCAGAGAAACACATATACTACAACGTCAACGCAGAGACAAACATATACTACAGTGTCAACGCAGAGAAAAACATATACTACAGTGTCAACGCAGAGACAAAACATATACTACAGCGTCAACGCAGAGAAAAACATATACTACAGCGTCAACGCAGAGAAAAACATATACTAAAGCGTCAACGCAGAGAAAAACATATACTACAGTGCCAACGCAGAGACAAAACATATACTAAAGCGGCAACGCACATGGGAAAAACATATACTAAAGCGTCAACGCAGAGACAAAACATATACTACAGTGTCAACGCAGAGAAAAACATAAACTTAAGCGTCAACGCAGAGAAAAGCATAAACTTAAGCGTCAACGCAGAGAAAAGGATATATACTATAGCGTCAACACAGAGACAAAACATATACTACAGTGTCAACGCAGAGACAAAACATATTCTAAAGCGTCAACGCAGAGAAAAACATATACTAAAGCGTCAACGTAGAATCAAAACATATACTACAACGTCAACGCAGAGACAAAGATATACTACAGCGTAAACGCAGAGACAAAACATATATTACAGCGTCAACACAAAGAAAAACATTTACTACAGCGTCAACGCAGAGAAAAACATATACTAAAGCGTCAACGCAGAGAAAAACATTTACTACAGCGTCAATACAGAGAAAAACATTTACTACAGCGTCAACGCAGAGAAAAACATATACTAAAGCGTCAGCGCAGAGAAAAACATACCACAGCGTCAATGCAGAGACAAAACATACTACAGCGTCAACACAGAGAAAAACATATTACAGCGTCAACGCAGAGAAAAAAAAATACTACAGCATCAACGCACATGGGGAAAACATACCGAAGCACTATGACACTGAAAAAATACACTACAGCGTCAACACACAGGGACAAATACACCACAGCATTATAACACAGGAACAAAATATACAACAGCGTCAACACACACGGGTGAAACATACCACAGCACCAACACAGAGGGACACAATGCTACCACAACGTCAGCACACGAGGACAAAGGACTTACCACAGCGTCAACACACATAAAACTATACTACAGCATCCGCACATATTAACAAAATATACCACGACGTCATCACACAATATACCATGGTACCAACATAATGACAAATTATATAGCAGGTCCAACATACAAGGACAAGATAGACTGCGCCTCCACCACACAATGACCAAATATACACATCAAAACATCACAACAAAATGTACCGTGTCACCAACACTTAATGATAAAATACAACGTGTCAACACACAAGGACAAGATATGCTGCGCCTCCACCACACAATGACCAAATATACAATAGCATCAAAACATCACAACAAAATGTACCATGTCACCAACACTCAATGATAAAATACAAAGTGTCAACACACAAGGACAAGATATGCTGCACCTCCACCACACAATGACCAAATATACAATAGCATCAATACATAACAACAAAATGTACCATGTCACCAACACTTAATGATAAAATACAAAGTGTCAACACACAAGGACAAGATATGCTGCGCCTCCACCACACAATGACCAAGTATACAATAGCATCAATACATCACAACAAAATGTACCATGTCACCAACACTTAATGATAAAATACAAAGTGTCAACACACAAGGGTGACAACAAGCAATGCCAATATTCGATGTCGATACCAAGAAAAGGAAATACAGGAACTGACAGACATAACAACAAACAGGAACAGCAGACGTCTTATCAAAATAATCAATTGTTATAAAGTATATGAACACTCAAAACTCAGATTTATCCATTTATAAATCTATATTTACTCAAATGAAGTTATATTTCACTACCGTAGTCAATATAACTAAGATATATTACTCGGTGGAAATAAGCTGCCTTTAATTATGATTCTTTATTTTTGACTCTTGACTACATACATAGAGAATTTCCAAACAATTATAACATATACGTAAATAACTTTTTAAGTACATGTATGATGTTCGGGCGTCATTTGGCTATGTGTTTCATCACTGCAAGACCTGTTAGTATATTATCTTGTAAACTTCAATAATGTTTGGTTTTTGGGACCATATTAACTAAATCTAATAATTCTTACTTTGAAAATAACTTAGTTGAATGAATATGAATCATAATTTAATCACGACCTGATGAATATTTTTCTATATCTTAAATGTAACTATCAATAAATACAGGAAATAATTAACATATGAAAGCTAGTGAAACAAATTCGCACGTAAGTCTACCAACATGAGCGTTCCGCCGGAGGAACATGACAGCAGCATGACCATTGAATTGTTTTAAAACAGTAACAGTTTTGAAGTACATACATGGATGCGGCAAATATCAACTCAATCTCGATTCGTCAACAAGTTGAATCGCATGATAATAATAATAATAATTAGTTGAATTAATTCCTCAAGAAATATGATAAACTTACATAAGTGTAACTTATTTGGCCTACCCCGGTGTACAGTCTTGTCGGTACAGGTAACCACTCTGACCCAGTGTACAGTCTTGTCGGTACAGGTAAACACTCCGACCCGGTGTACAATCTTGTCGGTACAGGTAAACGCTCCGACCCAGTGAACAGTCTTGTCGGTACAGGTAAACACTCCGACCCGGTGTACAGTCTTGTCGGTACAGGTAAACGCTCCGACCCAGTGAACAGTCTTGTCGGTACAGGTAACCACTCCGACCCAGTGAACAGTCTTGTCGGTACAAGTAACCACTCCGACTCGGTGTACAGTCTTGCCGGTGCAGGTAAACGCTCCGACTCGGTGTACAGTTTTGTCGATACATGTTACCACTCCGACCCGGTGTACAGTCTTGTCGGTACAGGTAAACGCTCCGACCCGGTGTACAGTCTTGTCGGTACAGGTAAACGCTCCGACCCGGTGTACAGTCTTGTCGGTACAGGTAACCACTCTGACCCAATGTACAGTCTTGTCGGTGCAGGTAAACACCCCAACGAGTAGGCAATCGAGTATCTGGAAGTAATACGTTTTTGTACACGAAATTTACTAGTGGAAGGTTTTTGACATAGGGTTGGTACATTGTACGCACACTGTAATTTCTGTATATAAATAAATGTAGTAGGACTACGAACACAGGTTATTTACGTACATGTTTTAATGATGAAAAATTATAGTAGTAACTCTATTTTGACATTCCATTTTGGTTCAGGTACGTGCTCCGTCCCATGAGGGCCGTTTTGGTTCAGGCCTGTGCGCCGTCCCATGAGAGCCGTTTTGGTTCAGGCCTGTGCGCCGTCCCATTAGTTTTGGTTCAGGCCTGTGAGCCGTCCCAGGAGGGCCGTTTTGTTTAGGTCTGTGCGCCGTCCCAGGAGGGCCGTTTTGTTTAGGCCTGTACGCGGTCCCAGGAGGGCCGTTTTGTTTAAGCCTGTACGCCGTCCCAGGAGGGCCGTTTTGTTTAGGTCTGTGCGCCGTCCCAGGAGGGCCGTTTTGCTTCAGGACTGTTCTTCAAGACTCTACCCCTTACCTGTTGTTAAGGTGTGTTAATCTCCTCATCAATCATTCATACTTAATTAACCAATGAATCCATCTGCAATAGCTCGCTTCAAACGATACGGTCAATATAACACAACTACTTTCACCAACACGTTTTCTTGGTAGAATTCTCCCGTGCCAACTCTTGTATTATCTCGTGACATCGCCACGCATGCTTGAGTTCAAACGGACGCTTGTAACCATGGGAACTAAGAACCGTTCTGAACTCCTCGTCAGAGTACCTCACTTTCCGGAAGGCAAACCTGTCTTCGGTCATTGGTTTTACCCCGAGCTTATAGGCAACAATGGCGAAATACACGTCGTCGAAAGGTAAGGATTTCGTGTAGGGTATGACGATGTTCATGTCTATTACGAAGTCCATGGACATGACGAGAGTTCCTCCCCGTATAACGGGAGGGTACTTGTTGAACGGATAATCCGCGGGGGAGATATACCACTTAGCGGACCGATCTCGTTGTGGTTTGGCACTGTGTATCAGTCCGCCCATATAGACACTAGTGGGATGAAACGTGTGAATATGTTCAAGTAAAGACAACATGAAATCTGTTGCTACGTAATAATCATCGTCCCCCATTATAGCGAATTTTGCTCCCGGACAATTTTTGGCCGTCCATCTTATTCCACCAATAGCCTTTAATGTTAGATTGTAATACGTGTCAATGAAATCCAGCTGTAAAATATCACCAAATTCTTTACTCTCGGCTACGATCATCTCATTCAGAGTGGATCTCACAGGAAACCCCATCAGAAACACTAGCCGGATACTTGGGAACTTGTATTCGTCCGCCCAAGACTTCCGGATAACATTACGCCGGGCGTAGTTTGTCGGCGTACTCTTGATCAGATAAATCATAAACACGTGTTTTTCGGAACTCTTGCCTTCCCCTTGCACGCAGGTTTTGGCGGGAACGAGTGTCTCCGTGTGAGTGTATTTGTTAATGACTGTTTCATCCACATGTCCTTGACGTTTATAATCAGATACTAACTTAGTCATGTTAATCTCAAGTGGATATTGAAAATCAGAAAACTGTATCTCACACTCCACGCCAGGTTCAGTTACATTCGAACAAAGTGGAAGTTCGTTATCTGAGTCCTCTTCTTCATGTCTTTGACTTTCATCTTCAAAATATTTTACGTGCACTTTTGCTTTGGGTTCTTTTTCCGCGTCTTCTTCGCATGGTACCGTTCTTATAACTTCGCGGATAATTTCCTGTTTTGTTTGAGCTAACTCCCCTCTATTATACACAGACATAACGTTCATCAGCATTACCAGTGCATTACATATTGACATGAAGAAGATGAACTTGGCCGAGCGGAAACGGGAGTACATGCTTCTGCCAACAAATCGGCGACTCATCTCCGCGAACTGGTTGCCCTGGCTGTAAAGGGCCACTGACTTACTGCCCGATATGTATCCGCTTTTTGTCGATTTTATTCTGATTCTACCTACCGTAAATATCCAAATGGGTGCAACATAAATCGATTATCGATTTTACAAGATGAATTACCGTAAATAAGTATATGCGAGCCTTTAGGATGAGATTATAATTGTATTCAGTGTTAATAGTTATTAACAGTTTCAGAATTAAGACGACAGATAGATATATCCATTATCGGTGTGGAAACCATCGACATGTTATTGAAATTGCAAAGAGCAATCAACTTTATCTTACTTGTCCATAAGATAAATCTTCTTTTACAAAGGATGATTTTACCAGCAGTATAATCCTGTAGGAACTTCAGTATTACCGCGACGGAACAAATATTAGTAATGCTATGACGACCTCAGATGTTACTGCGGACAGCTGGACAACCACATCATGTGAGTATAACTGCGGACAACTGGACAACCACATTATGTGAGTATAACTGTGGACAGCTGGACAACCACATTCTAGGAGTATAACTGCGGACAGCTGGACAACCACAGTCTAGGAGTATAACTGTGAACAGCTGGACAACCACAGTCTAGGAGTATAACTGCGGACAGATGGACAACCACAGTCTAGGAGCATAACTGTGAACAGCTGGACAACCACAGTCTAGGAGTATAACTGTGAACAGCTGGACAACCACATTCTAGGAGTATAACTGCGAGCAGCTGGACAACCACAGTCTAGGAGTACAACTGCGGACAGATGGACAACCACAATCTAGGAGTATAACTGCGAACAGCTGGACAACCACAGTCTAGGAGTATAACTGAGGACAGCTGGATAACCACATTCTAGGAGTATAACTGCGGACAGCTGGACAACCAGTCTATGAGTATAACTGCGAGCAGCTGGACAACCAAATACGCTATAGCTCCATGTGCTATAGAAACAATTGACTTTGTGTCATAAATATACTGCATATAGAAAGACCAAAGATGACGTACATAATAAAACGGTGTTCAATATTTCCCAGAACTGAATGCATGTACGTTTCCAAAATGGTGAATCTTTCATTCCGTATCTTCAACCTAAATTGGATTTGTATGCCAATGTCTGTCAATGGAGCAAATCGGTAATCGGTAAAATTCTTTCAAAAATTAGATGAATGTAAGAAGTTGACAGGGTTTCGAATGTGTTCCCGTTATATTTTGGAGTAACTACGGTATCCACCTGTGGTACATGTTTTCTTTGGTAATTGTCTAGCAATAGATGGCGTGAATTATTAATTGCATCGTGTCGGCCACCGGTAACCCGACGTGTGAACCTCCAGGTGGCCCCAGCCATGTACATCAATCAATGGAACGGGCCCTTATTAGGTCCGTTTGGTTAATCATTCATTGGAAGTTAATTTGACACTTTATAGAGAACAAAACCTTATATAATCACATATTGTTTACTGAATACATAAACACGACATGAACTATGAAAAGGAAGGTCATATTCCCATTTAACCGAATTAGCCATCATAGAGTGGGGCTTAAGTACCGAGAACGCTGTGAACATTTTAATTCTCATTTTTAATTGCTGTCTTTGATTTAACGTGTTTAACCACATGACATTTTAATGTCACTTTCACACTACTCTTACATTGGAATAATGATTCGGAGTAAAAGAATGAAAATATATATCCCAATTGGTCATCATGAAAAAAGGGAAAACCAACTACTATGGCAAGCCAAGTTGTCATTTATTCATGGAGCAATGTTGATCCAGTACTTAACCAAATTATAGAAAATATATTATATACTTTATGAGATATCTTATACACTTTATAAGATATCTTATATAATAAATGAAATATCTTATACACTTTATAAGATATAGTATACACTTTATAAGATATCTTATATAGTTTTCTTTATAAGAAATCTCATAAAAGATATGATATCTTATAAAAAAAGAGATATCTAATATATTATATAAGATATCTTATATATTTTCTAAGATATCTTATATATTATATAAGAAATCTCATAAAAGATATGATATCTTATAAAATAAAATAAAAAATCTAATATATTATATAAGATATCTTATATAATATATAAGATATCTTTTAAACAAAAATTAAATGACATATCTTATATAATTCGGTTATAAGATATCTTATAAAGAACAAGATTTGAATTTGAGATAATAAACCCTCCCCACAGCGCTCGGAACCTATCGATAACCGAGGGGTCCGATAGGATTCGATCGAAAATGGCTGCCTATGACAATGGGACCAGTAATCAAATTGAAACTACATATAATTATGGCAATCCAAGTTGTCATTTATTCATGGAGCAATGTTGAGCTAGTACTTAGCCAAATTATCGCCAACGAAAACGGATATGACCTTACAACGGGAGCAGTCATTTTCAAACATTTCTTCTGTGTCGGTCTCGCGAGAGTCTCGTTCTTTATAAGATATCTCATAAACTTTTCTTTGTAAGATATGTTATATCTTTTATGAGATTTCTTATATAATATAAGATATCGTATAAAGAAAATTAATTGAGATATCTTATAAATTATATAAGATATATTATATATTATATAAGATATAAGATATATTATATAAGATATCTTATAAAAGATATAAGATATATCATAAACTTTAAATGAGATATTTTATATGTTTATAAGATATTTTATATGTTTATAAGATATCTTATATGTTTATAAGATATCTTATATGTTTATAAGATATCTTATATGTTTATAAGATATCTTATATGTTTATAAGATATATTATATACTTGGCTTGCCATAAACTACAGCTGTTACCTGCAGCTTAGAAATGAGAAAATACACGTCGAAAATTCAGAACCTATCTACTGCTTTTAAATTCTGATCGATTTCACATTAAAAAAATATATATCAATAAATGAGAACAGCAGCTCTCGCCATTAACACATCAGTAATGGCTTGACATTGGAATAAGAGGAACATTAGGAAAAAATGTTTACAAGACAATATCTTTACGTGGTTCAACGATACAACTGTACGTCGCCCTATATACGTGTTAGACTAACAGTTAATGAAGAAACAAACCGATAACCGACCATGTAGACAGAAATAAACTGCGTGTCACGTTCACCCTTAATTTGATTGGTTTAATTAATAAGATTGCGTCACGGAATACCAGTAGATACGCACAATGGTTACGCGACTACAGCTGTTACCTGCAGCTTAGAAATGAGAAAATACACATCACAAATTCACAACCTATCTACTGCTTTTAAATTCTGATCGATTTCATATTAAAAAATATTTTTTTTAATAAATGAGAACAGCAGCTCCCGCTATTAACACATCAGTAATGGCTTGACATTGGAATAAGAGGAACATTAGGGAAAAAATGGTTACAAGACAATATCTTTACGTGGTTCAACGATACAACTGTACGTCGCCCTATATACGTGTTAGACTAACAGTTAATGAAGAAACAAACCGATAACCGACCATGTAGACAGAAATAAACTGCGTGTCACGTTCACCCTTAATTTGATTGGTTTAATCAATAAGATTGCGTCACGGAATACCAGTAGATACGCACAATGGTCACGCGACAGTGACCTATTCCTGGTGAAGACATAACAAACCCGTAACAGCTAGTTCATGCTTGACATGCAATGACATTTCGTGGCAAGTAAAGTCAAAGGCTCCATCATTAACGTGAATTTCCCTTCACATCGTACTTGCTTTATCTGTTCCAAAACCCTTTGCATCTTTCATGACCTTCCGGTTGCGCAAGATGGGGTCTTTAATACGATGTACGTATTTCAAGATAAGCAATTATTTCATTGTTCTTTGTTCGAGATGTACCACAAATCTGTACTTTGTTTATCGATGCAACTTAGCCAAATGGCCGCTTTATTCGATCGACACCCCTGTATCAATCAGTATTTTCGAAGGAAACCGAGGAGAACATGCCCCAGATTGACCGTATAACAGATGAAACAATAGATAATATAATGGTAAACCCCAATATTGTATTCAAAACATTGGAAAAGCTCAAAACATCAAAGTCCCCAGGCCCAGACAACCTTCACTCGCGAGTGCTAAAGGAACTGAGCTCTGCTATTTGTCTGCCATTGTCAATTATCTTTAACACTTTAATACACAATGGAACCGTTCCCCAAGAATGGAGACAAGCAAGTGTCACCGTCATGTTCAAGAAGGGAGATCGTAAATCGGCCAGTAACTATAGACCCATCAGTTTAACGTGTATATGTTGCATAGTATTAGAAACGATTGTAAGAGAAACAATAATCAAATACATACATACCAATACATTATTCAGCAAGGAACAATTTGGGTTTATCCAAGGAAGATCCACTGTATTACAATTAATTCAAGTCATTGACCACTGGATGAAAATTCTTGATGCAGGAGGATGCAATGATGTGCTGTACTGTGACTTATGAAAGCATTTGACAAGGTCCCTCACAACCGACTCGTCCATAAAATGAGCATGTACGGATTTACGGGTAAAATCACGAGCTGGATTAAGGCCTATCTTCTAAATCGCAAACAACGCGTAACAATAAATGGAGACACGTCATGTTGGAAGGAGGTGAGCAGTGGTATTCCACAAGGATCCGTCCTAGGACAAGTCCTATTTGTCCTGTACATAAAAAACCTCCCGAATATAATAAGTACGGAAACCAACACATACCTTTTCGCAGATGACACAAAATTCTACCGTGCTATATTTAACACCCAAGATTGCGAGGGCCTTCAGGAAGACCTGCTGAAGCTCAATCATGGAACAAAAAGTGGCTTCTATATTTCCACCCAGACAAATGCAAAGCAATGCGAATTGGCAACAGTGATATTGACAACTTCACCTACAACCTAGATGATGGAAAGGAACTTCCCTATACAGATCATGAGAAAGATATTGGAGTCACCATTGACAATAAATTAGCATTTG